CATGGAGCAACGAGGAGCTTTGAGATTAGCAGAAGGCATATCAATTACATCAGGATGAGAGAAGAGGTTGAAGGATTGATGTAACGATATTGACACTATTTTCCACACAATAGATTTAGTAGCTCCATCTTCAATTTTATGATGAAAATTAAGATCTGATTCACTAAATGATGTGTCTCGACCATGAATGCACTCATAATGACTTGAAGTGAAAGATAATTCAAATGAGTCATTGCTTTTATTGGATGATTTGATCACGAAAGCCTCTGCTCTCTCTAGTGAGATTTCACAGCTTCTGGTTATACATGCTTTATTATCAGCCTTTTCAAAGTCTTTAGCAATTTTGTTCCTGACATTAAGTTGAGAGCACAACTTTGCAAGCTCACAATTCTCTGCTACAGGCTTTCCTTCAATGAGTGACATTACTAATCTCTGCACAACCAAATCAAAGTATCTCCTTATAGGCGATGTAAAATGTGTATATGCTGATAGTGCAAGGCTATTATGAGAATGATTAGCACAGATGTGTTCTTTGCTGCTTTCAATCACAACATAACTGGCTTTTCTGTTGATTGACCGTAACATAGCCTCAGCCATTGCCAGTTGTGGATAAAGCTTATTATTGCTAAGAACTGAAGCTAATTGAATGTGATCTCCTTTAGAACATGCATCAATAAGTAGCTGAAGTGTTGTGCCTGACATAATAAAAGAACCTGCTTCATCAGATGGATTGTTTAAATAACGCTTAAGAGACAGGGAATGAGACAGGCAGTTTTGATTTTGATTAATAAAATTATGCTTTTCTTCTTCTAAAGGTGGCATTTGAGCTCGTAAGAGTGCTGTTTGTTGTGGAAGTCGCTCATGAAGATATTCAGCTACTGATGCATTACAGAATATCATTAGTTCTTCAATAAGAAGATGAGTTTGCCAGTTACTCTCTTCACCTTCCTCAGATTGGCCATAACAGTAACCAGCATCACCTAACCTCTTAATGCGTAGGTACATAGCTATCTTATACAGTAGATTAAGAGTATCAATCATTCGTGACTTTGGTCCAGTGGCATCATCAAATGCTTCAACTTGCATTCTTGTCTCATCATCATCAACTAGCTGTTCATTATGCATTACCTTTTTAGCAGTTTCATAAGTGAATCGTACTTGAGAAGTGACCATTGCTTCCTTTGGATTGCCAGACACTACACTAGTTACCACTCCTTCTTTTATGGCTACTGTAGCAGGTAAGCATAAAACATGTCGTTTCTCCAAATGGTCAAGGCTCAATTGAGATGTGATACTGGATGGAAACATGTGACTCACCCGTCCAATGCGATTGGATGCACAACTCTGTTTAGCACCATATACAGATGTACCCCTCTGTTTAGCTTTCTTGTCTAAAGGATGGTTTTCATTTATATGTTTGGCAACATTAGCTATAAGAACTGCCAGCTCATAATTACCATCTTCAGGAAGAGGTGTCAAACTGACTGCATCATCTAAATCTTTAGATAAAGGAGGATCAATGGTAAATGCTCGATCATAATGATCAAGCTCGTTAGTTTCATTTGGAGGTTGAAGTGGTGCATGCACTTCTTCTTCATAAATGCCATATACAAGGCTAAGCAAGTGATTAGTAAAGAAAAGGTTTGATGTGCGTGGAACAGCTTCAATGACAGCTCCTAATGCTTTTCTGTATTTTGGATTCCAACCAAGCACCTCAACAACAAACAAGAGACTCTGAGACAATTCAAACGGTATGAGCTCTTTAATACAAGGAATCTGATCATTAGGTGAGATAGAGAGTGACTCCTCTTTAAACACTGCAATGTAATCGTGCACCATTGGGGCCTGGTCATCCTTTGGACGATATCGAAGAAGGTTGTAGGATATTTTTGGAAGGTTCACAATGACAGGAGCAGTTTTATCAAGAGGATAAAAGTTAATGAGGCCATATTGATCAGCACGGCATACATACCTAGTTGGA